ACGATGATAATTTTCTAAATATGTAATAGCGGAACTTTTTAACCCCGAATCTAGCAAGCTAGGTATCCACGTAAGTAGTATCCAGAAACCAAGTGTCAGTAGTTAAGAATTTAATAAACTTGGATAACCTATCAGTCCTATGTTTCATCAGTCCTAAGTTTCGCTTATCACAAAACGAATCCAATCGTGTAATAAAAGGGCTGACTGTATAGCCTTAATAGACTCGAACAATCTTCATATAGCAAAAATGTTCCCATCACACTGTTTCTATAGATTCATAGCAATTCCAGAAAACAGGATATTTCAGAGAAAGTGTGCGAAAAATCTCGTTGAACAGAGCTGAATTAGTAAACATCGTCAAATATACGAGATAGGTCGAAGAAGCCACCCTGTTTAATCCAATAATTCTTCGAAATAAAATTAAACTGGTCCAACGTTAGCAAAATGCAGATACACTGAAGAAGCAACCCTATCCGATTCGACAATTCTCGCTGAACAATTGAAAACTAGTCCAATGTTAGCAAAGCAAAAATACGTCAACGAAACCACTGTATCGACTTCGATAATTTTCACTGAACAGAGCTAAACATGTGCAACTATACCGAAAGAAAAATAGGTTATAGGAGCCAGCCTATCGAATTCAATAATCCTAGCCAGATGAGCGCGAAACTTGGCGATTCCGGAGTACAGGAAAGAATTAAAAGTTGAGGCTGGGGACGGGGCTAGAGGAAGGCTTGTTATCTCGACGAGAAGGACGGGCAATTCGTTAGAGCGGCGGTAAATTCGCGAATTAAAGAACTTATTCCATTTGGGCAGCCAAAGGGGTGTGAACGCTTCCTCGTTCGTATTATCTCGCGTGGAGCGAGAAGAACAAAAAGGGTTTGCAGGTAGAGGGAAACAGAAAGGCGAGGACCAACGACGGGAGGGAATAACCTGTACGAACGACGGGGGCAGGGGGTCTGGTGGGGTCGGTTGGAAGGAAGACGAAGGGAGAAAGAGCAGAGAAAGGGACAGAGAGGACGCGTTTAGACGTTCGTTCCGCTGGTAACAAAGATAACTCTATGCAATAAAAATGATTCAAAGTTTCCCGCGGCGGATGGTGGTTCCGATGGCGGAGCGGTTGACAATAGCGCGTCTTTGTCTCCACCCCACACCCTGATGCCACCCCGCTGCCTCTTTCGCCCTCCTCATCTCGCCCCCTTCTACGCTGCCTCGTCCGTATCCTGCGACACCTATCTTCCGGTTTAAAGTCCCGCCGTGCGCGCCAGGGAGGAACCTCGCTAACTTTTATTATTTACGACCGATATTTCAGTCGGCCAGCGCGCATGCACGTACCGGCCATAAAGTGGCCCTTGGGAGCGTCGACGATTCAATTGACTCTTAGAAAAATTACCACAGAAATGCTGCTCCTGGCCAATCGCTGCTCTCCATGCTACTCTCGACACAACTGACGGACGAATCGGATTATCGGGTTCGATCTGGGTTATTAGCTCGTGGTTAAGCTAGTCTTTCTTAAAGTAACGTAATCGCTCGAATTTTTTTTTTTGAGATTTAGGTATGGGTGTTTGAAGTGGTTATCGATGTTATTAGTTAATACCGGTGGATATATATACATAGATGATATTTGAAAAGAATGTAACGGAGAATGGGGGTAAAGTTGAATAAATCGAGGGATGGATATGATAATAGGAAAAAGGAATTACGTTCGAAGGACGAAGGAAAGCGGAAGGATACGGGGTAATGGAGTACTGCAATATAGAAAGGCTGAATAAAAATTTCTCAATGGAAGTATACAATATTATATATAGGGATTCTTTTCAATTGAATTATTTTTCGGCGAGTTATTAATTAGTGCGGAGAATATAATTTTCCAATTTACGTATCAATAATTTATAAGACAGATATACAACAATAGTTTCTTTAAAATTTGTTTGCAATTTTCCAAAATTAGATCTAAGTGTTAAACCATTGTAATATAAATTATGACCAACGATTGTCGATTCTAATACGCTACACTTTACCAACACTGAGACCTAACACCACGATAAAATACTGACAAAATCTTTATTCGTATGACGAACAAAGCGTGCAATTTGAAAACGGAAATTAATTAAAGTAATACTATCTTAAGAACCATTATCTACAGATACCATTTACATTCTGCATAAGCAATTAAAACCATCCATCTACCCATCTACCCACCCGAAACCCTCCAAATTTTTGCTAAAAATTCAGCCACAGAGCAGAGGGTGACAGAAAACGACGATAGAAGGGGTAGAAGGGTGGAAGCGGCTCCTCAGGATTTTCCCTTATCAAATCAACGGGTGAGCGAGCGATGATCGGTCCCCGAAGAGAAAGAGAAAGAGAGAGGGTGGAAGAGGAGACCCTCCGTGAGACTTCTCTATTCCCCCTCGGCGCGTACTCTTTATCTACCTACCTACGAATACCCATACGTAACCCGGTGAAGGGTCTGAATTTGCATTTTATTCGCAGTTGTGGACCGCGGGTTCGTGGGTAACGTTCCTCCGCGGTACGGACATTTATTTTAATTAAATTACTCCGGAGCGTCGAACAACCCATTTCCTATAAATTATCCCCTCACCGGTCTTTTGGTCTCTCGCGCGTCCGCTCGGTCGGTCGCGGTGGCGCGCGAGTGCACGTGAGGACGCGCGCGCGCGCGCGCGCACCCATGGACGCCCAGCCATTAATGTACCCGCTGATCCCACGGTGCCATTGAAATGAAATAAAAGCACAGGCGAGAACGAAACGTTCTGCCCATTCTCACCGCGGCGAGTTCGCCATGCCGCTTCCCTTTCATTTACCACGTAATCATTTTCCACTAACGCGCGTATGTACGTACACCGATTAACCCGCGGGACGCGAGACAGTGGGGATACGCGCATGCGCGCATCACCGACCGCGGACACGCGTCCCTGCGACCGTGTATATTGGTATCGCGGACCATAATTTAGCCAGAGCTTAATCGTTCCGAATCAAAAGTTCACCGGAGAAAACGCTTTCGCGGTAATCGTCGTAAAGCGAACGCATCGTGCCGCGGTAATGGTCTCGGTTATCGAGCAACTTCTGCTTAACCAACGGTCAAATGTCACTGTCGTTTTCACGAAGCCATTAGTACCGCCAAAGCGATCGGCTGCTTTTTTAGACGATTCACGCTCGTTCCTATGAACCGTCGGAAATTTAAGCTTATCTGGGAATGAACTTTTAACGATCGTGATTTTTAATCGAGATATGGGGTTGCGATGAGCATAGATTTATAATTCGAAGATACACGGTTGAAGATTTAATAGGCCCGTTGTTAATCGAACTTTTATTGGTTATGTTGTGTTCCATTTCTGTATTGTAAAATTTTGTACGATTGATTTGTTGAAATTTTGTAGAATCGTTTTGCAAAATTTCGTGATTTTTTATTTGTGTTCCTAATTCGAGACAAAGTTGTAAATATATAACATAAAAGTAATATAACGACACGGATTTGAAATGACGCAATAAATCTATCAGATTATCCTTATGCTAACTAAATGGTATTTAAAATTATGTTAAAAGATACATTTGTTTTGGTATTCGTTGAAAAGTAACACAATATTTAAGTTGGGGTAATATATAATAGCTTTAAATTGTATAATTTTGTAAATAAATAATGGTATGAAAATAAAAATAAACTTATGTTTCTAGTGTCATTGCAATTTCATTAGAACTTTTTAATTAAATACCTGATTGAGCAAATATAATACTGCATTTATTAACAAGCGCACATATTATACTATTGACCATTAAGTTTGTATCGGTTTCAATATTTATTATGATATAAACGAATGGTAAAGTTTGGTGATTAAAAGAAATAATAAAAAGTCTTAAGATCTAAATATTTAAGTTTAAAATCATTTACCGATTAATGTTTTTCATTTGAATTAATATAGCATCATGAAAAAAATGCAAGGGAAACAAAGAAGTATGTATTTCTATAAATTACTGTATTAATTATTACAATTATAATACTAACATTACTAAAATTTCAAAAACTTGTATTCTATAAATTATTGTTTTGTTAAACCATTGTTTTAAAAACATATACTACTAAATGATACTTAAAAAATGATTAACTGATTCAAATCATTGGAAAACATTCCCTACGACCAAAGATTTAAATTTCCATTACGGACATGAATATTATCTTATATATAAATCTACTTATGAATACAAAACTACAAAAAATTGACAAAATTGCAAGTAAAGAAATATCGCTAACTTGTAACTGCAATTTATAATGCTATTAAGACTAATATGTACAAAGCTATTCAAACGTGATCAACGCTAAAAAAATACATAAATATATATTTATTATTAGAATATATAACTATAATCATCATTGTTAGCATTGTAATTTGCTCTTATGAATAAGATTCTTAAATGTAATAGAATTAGTACATTTGATAAAATTATAATTATTATAATTATAATTACAAATATGTACTAAATTATGTGTATATTTTCCTTTGCTAATATATGTTATACATTATAACAATAAATACTGATATATTGCAAATTTTAATTTTTTAGAATCCCTTTGTATAGATTATATTTAAATAAATTGTAATGTGAAAAATAGGTTTTAAATATTAATAAATATAATACACATTGTTTACATGACGAAATATGTATCCAAAATAAATTAAATAACACGAAGGTAGTATAAATGCGACAATGAAATAGTTTTACCAGAGAAAATAAAAAACGTAAAATTTCTAACATTTTCAAATGATGAAGTTATAATAGCATTTGATGTCCAGCATCACACGTTCTGCAAGTTCAAACGTTTGGACGAAATCACTGAAACGCTTGCGCGCTTTGCAATAGACGTTATATAGGTTAGGTATGTATACAACACACCGTACAACGCAAAAGCATGCTCTATCATTGCCTGTCATTTATTTACCTACAGCATGTGTGACCTATCTATGAATTATACATTATTAACTTACCTGATAAGGAACATCACCGCTTTTTCCACGTGTTGCCCCAAGATTTAATGTCATTACACAAAAATCTCTTGCATTCCATACATACAACACGTTGTCCCGAATTTCTAAAATATTTCTCGTATCTTTAATATTTTGGGGGAAACTATTTCTCAATTCTAGGAATAAACGTTCTTTATTTAAACTATGTGGATCCATAAACGAACTCATTTTTGAACAAAATAAGGTTATAATACCACACACAACACTGAACGACAACAACAACGAAGTCCTTCACTGGCACGAATAGAATAGCAGCAGGTCAGCCAACTCTGTAATATCACATACGTGTGGCGACACTGCCGTATAAATTCGGTTCCTTATTTAAATTTTGTTATATCAAATTTTATAACTTTTATAAAGTTATTTTCCCTATATCTTTTATTAACACTTATGTTCATATTATTATTACATATTGTGTAGATACCTGCTTTTATTCATACGATTTATTACGAAATCTTTCATACATAAATATACATCCATTATTTCACTTGAAGTTTTAAAACTAATTGACAAATTTATTTGTAATGCGTATGGAATATACAACCTTATATACAAATATTTCTAGTTCTATTTTACAGCATGTTTGATTTATCAATTGTTTAGTATATAACGAAATGCAAATATGAAATCCTAAGATTTCTATATAATGAATTTTACATTAATTTATATATTATAAAGATGAAATATCGCCCAGTATTTTTGCATAATGATTAAAGAACAATATCTTTTATAAAATATTATATTCTGAAAATAACTTATCCAGCAGCATACAAATAAATGTAATCTATTGATATATGAATAATAAAATAATATTTAATTTTGATTACTTTATTGCGGGAATTAATGTTATTATTATATACTGGAAAATTATGAAAAAAAATTAATGCGCAACTATTCAGTGGTAATTAACTGCGCTTGAAGGCCCCGTTTACCTACAGCATGTGTGACCTATCTATGAATTATACATTATTAACTTACCTGATAAGGAACATCACCGCTTTTTCCACGTGTTGCCCCAAGATTTAATGTCATTACACAAAAATCTCTTGCATTCCATACATACAACACGTTGTCCCGAATTTCTAAAATATTTCTCGTATCTTTAATATTTTGGGGGAAACTATTTCTCAATTCTAGGAATAAACGTTCTTTATTTAAACTATGTGGATCCATAAACGAACTCATTTTTGAACAAAATAAGGTTATAATACCACACACAACACTGAACGACAACAACAACGAAGTCCTTCACTGGCACGAATAGAATAGCAGCAGGTCAGCCAACTCTGTAATATCACATACGTGTGGCGACACTGCCGTATAAATTCGGTTCCTTATTTAAATTTTGTTATATCAAATTTTATAACTTTTATAAAGTTATTTTCCCTATATCTTTTATTAACACTTATGTTCATATTATTATTACATATTGTGTAGATACCTGCTTTTATTCATACGATTTATTACGAAATCTTTCATACATAAATATACATCCATTATTTCACTTGAAGTTTTAAAACTAATTGACAAATTTATTTGTAATGCGTATGGAATATACAACCTTATATACAAATATTTCTAGTTCTATTTTACAGCATGTTTGATTTATCAATTGTTTAGTATATAACGAAATGCAAATATGAAATCCTAAGATTTCTATATAATGAATTTTACATTAATTTATATATTATAAAGATGAAATATCGCCCAGTATTTTTGCATAATGATTAAAGAACAATATCTTTTATAAAATATTATATTCTGAAAATAACTTATCCAGCAGCATACAAATAAATGTAATCTATTGATATATGAATAATAAAATAATATTTAATTTTGATTACTTTATTGCGGGAATTAATGTTATTATTATATACTGGAAAATTATGAAAAAAAATTAATGCGCAACTATTCAGTGGTAATTAACTGCGCTTGAAGGCCCCGGAGGGATTCGAACCCTCGATTTCCTGTTTACTAGACAGGCGCTTTAACCAACTAAGCCACGGCGCCAGTAAAAATAAACTTCTTATTTCCACTTTAACAAGACAACTTTATAATATAATTTTGTACATATATTATTTATATATTTTTTTATGTATTCGATTAATGACATATATCGAAAAGAAATATTATAAAGGACTTATTTCTCCACTTTTGAATTTGCAATTTTCCATATTTAAAACAATTACAAGTATCTCACAATATATTTTCATTACTACTAATTTTTCATTTTTATACTACTATCGTTATGAACGTTATTAATATTAATAATAAATTATGTATTATGGTTTCCATCTTAGAAAATTAAGAGAAGTAAATGATTATAAATAAGGCTATTTGTAGAAACGAAAATTTCTTTTCTTTTTTTGAATTGGATTACTTAGATTCTAAATGTATTTCCTTTAGAATGATATGTAAAAGTTTATTTAACCATAATTCTCTCACGACAGGATCTGCATACTTAAACTTTTGTATATTAACATTCAATTAATATTTGTGCACCCGTTATGAATATATAACAATATTTATAATGGTGCAGTGAAAAATGTCACTGATTGTGCTTTTTTCATAAGTGTTTCTACTACCATCATAAACAATTGAGTATAAGATTTTGTTTCTACATCTATCAAGATTATTGTACGTATGGTCAGTTAAAAAAACAAAAGAAATCGCCCCCGGGTGGGCTCGAACCACCAACCTTTCGGTTAACAGCCGAACGCGCTAGCCGATTGCGCCACGGAGGCTGTTGGTGAGACATTCTTTCAAAAAGCAAGATAGATATTTTATTTTTATTTTGTCATCTTAAAATTAAATTGGTATAATTAATAGTCTCTATTTAAAATGAAAATAGGTATCTAAAGTATCTATTCTATTTTGACATATTTAGTTTGAAATTCTAATTCAATTTTCTTATTTAGACCGGGATAAACATGTGTGGTAAGCAATGCAATGATCAATTGCAGTCTCTAACTGCAGTCTCTAATGTGACTGTGTGTACATGTATATATTTAAAAAGACACTCTACTTTTATTCTTTGCAAAGTACGAAATTAAAGATACCTATTTCTAATATTTTTATACCTTTAATCTTAAAGCATATGTCATGTAAATTATAATATATCACTTGAAGGAAATTCAACTACTTTGTATCATCTTAGAGTATCAAAGTGTTTTGATAAGAACATATCAAAGGATTTTGATAAAAGATAACGAATGTATCATTATACAATATTATAGTGAAAGAAATTAAAATGTAACAAAATTTATTAACACATTATGGAATTAAGGAAGATACTTATCAGCAAAGTATAAATAATATAAGCTCCATATGTCTATCCTAACATTAAAATTGTGGCATTCAATTTTCTTAAGCTCCACTTATAACGATCAATGAAACGCGATATATTTTTTAATTTCCATCGAGCTTTACGTATCGAAGGCTTTGATGGATTATTAAAAATGATATCTGAAATGCAGATCGAACAGATGTGCCGGACTTGGAATCTGCCATTAACGAAATGTCAAACCCTGAATCGAACGTGAAAGAAGGGCTGCGTCGAAAGAGGACTATAATGCGTGGTACGCTAACCGGGAAATAGTCTGGCAGTTGCGTCGAAGCTATATACGGTTAATTAAATGGGGTTGGCTCATTAGTAACTGTCTATATGCAAGGCGATGGCCGAGATGCGATTGGAGGGTGGTCCCAAGGTGATTTATCCGTCACGATGGATCGCAGATGTTCGACTGGTACGTGGCATAGGCCATCACAATGCTGTAATTAGGAACGCGTTTCGTTTATACGCATGCATAATGAAATCGTGTGTTTCTTTTTTTAGGCGTGATCGATGATAATGTCTGTAACTGCTGTGTAACATGCATAGATCGTTTCAGTAGAGGATGTAAAGTTAGAAGGTCTAAGTCTTGTCGAAAATGAAACAATCTTTGAATCGATTTTCCATATTGTTGTGATATATTTTAATATATTTACACGAGGAACTTGACTGTTGTTCAAAAGGGTTGTTACTTGTATTAGTGAATTAACCCTTTGCATTCGATGATTTTTTGACTGAAGAAGAGTAGAAATTCAAAAATTCTCTATTAAAAACTGACGATAATTTTCTGAGCAGTAAATAAAGAATTGTAGAATTATTTGATTTCGATACCTCGCACAGTATTACTTTACATTAAATTTGATATATTAATTAATATCTATCTTCCAAATTCTATGAAATGGTAACTGAAGGTCACCTCTCGAGTGTAAAGGGTTAAAATATTATTTTCGGAAAACTGATTATTGGCAAGATGTCGAACGAAAGATAACTCTATAAGCGAAATAAATGGTATTTCAATAACTTTGGAAGAATCTGTAAGACTATTCTGAGCAAAATTGTGCTTTGAAGAGGATGTTTCAGTATTATTGATTACTATAACAGTTAGCAAGCTTACTGTTTTCTCCCAAAAATGTCATTTTCTTATTTTTCAAATTTGATGTATATATAACTTTGATGCTTAGAAATATATCTGCTCGATTTTTTCATATTTCATTTTATAATTTGGTTTTACATTCAACAATTTTATTAAGTATTTTTAAATAATTATATATAATGTACTAAAGTTTCAAATGATATTAATGCTTGTTACAATTATTTCATAAACGTTATACTTTCATAGAGACACATTTTCTTATAATTATCTGAACAATGTGGTCGATTTATAATGAAGACACGAGAATGTTATTAAAATGTGTGCGAATTAATGGGAAATTAATTACTAAACATCATGCTATATCGATAAGTGAATAAATCTAAATTATTTATTAAGAATCCTATTAATAATGCACTATAACTATACTATTCATATCTATTAACTCTAGTCGTCACTGTTTAAATCAATCGCAATGATCTATTTTCTCATCTTTACTTTAGGTGAAATTTTCGTATCCTTTTTATGCCTTGAAATCATAATAATAAAATTCTATGTGTTTATTAAAACGTCACTGATTACGATTCTCCAGAATTATAATTTCCTAAACGAAGATAGGCAATGTTTTTGAAGAAAATAAAGCTACGAGCTATACTTTTGGCACTGGTGGTTATCCTGGTTGTCTATTTACTGCGTAGCTCGATCCAATTGATCCTAGCATTAAACCAGCTTTCTAAGGACACTTACTAGGAGAAGACACTTTGGTTTGG